ACCGGCCGGTTCAGACCGATTCACTCCACAGATTACTGTTTAAAGTCCCAGTTCATGTTTATGGCAAATTTTCAGTTAAATTCCGAGTCCAGTCCAGTTCAGTAAATTCATGTCAAGTCTAGTTATGATTTTAACCGGTTTCGGTTATACCGGTTAAGCTCAAATATCATGTCAAGTTCCAGTAGAGAATCTTAACATATTAAACAACTGTTTTTATCAGTCTGAGCATAGTACTTAGTATTTCTTTATATTATTTTACAGTTTGATCAGGCTACTGTTATCAGCACTACCATTTTCATATCGACGGATCAGGGGGGGACTCAGACTGGGTATTACATTGATTATAATTACTCTTCCATGTTTGAGGTATCTATCATGCTATGCTATGTATACGCTTGGAATGGTCGTCGGTCCATTCTGGGTTCTAATGGTCTAGTCCGCCCACTAGAGTGTGCACATGGTGTCCGACAATTTTATGCTGGCAGATGAGGTAACGGTTATGAGGCAACGGTTCATGTTGTGGCAATGGTTTACCGGTATCATGCTATGTTATGTTATGTTCTCATCATTACCCTAGGACATGTGGAAGCATGTGAGAGTAATGACTAAGCCAAGTACTAGATGTCTAAGCAACTCATATGTACACCTAAGGCTTTTGGCGTGAAGCAAGTGGCACAAGTTGATTGGTCAAGACAGTTTAACTCTCTTCACCATGTTTCATCCCCTATTTATGCGAAAGAGGGGAGTGAAAAATTCAGCTTCTACTTAAGAAATTCACTAAGCCAAGAGTTAGGTAAATTAAGTAAAGTTAAGAGAGAAATTGCGGTTAACAGAAGAACGCACGGAGAAGAAAGAAAAGCAACCCACGCACGCACGCACGCAAGGTTACGAGAAGACATGCACAATCATCCAAGAAATTAAGAGGGTAACTTCATCTTGACCCTGTTCTAATGTTAAGAGTCTAGAATGTAGCTAAGTTCATAACTTTGCCATAGTTGCTCTTGGGCGTATCTTATAAGCCATGCCTAGCCACGTTCATTTTACTCGACAACTCCCGAACAAATTATGTTTCTTTAGTCATTGTTATATATAGTATGTTCAGTCATGAAGTAGTTGTCGGGAGGAATCATCGGATGGTCGAAGTATTGGCCAAGCCATAGGCCACGCACATAGCGCACGCCACGGTCATACACGTCTCGTT